TTTTCCCATGAGAAGGGGTCTGGTAATTTGCACAGTAATTGCTGTGTGAGAATGTTCCAGAATAGCAGCTCCTCGGGTTCTCTCCTTAAATGTGTGTGTCAGACCATTCCACAACGCCCACTTACTGCTAGATGGCCGGACAAACTGAATAAGCAATCCGTTTTTAATATTGATGCCGTGTATTTCACTATAATTCAAGGAGGGCTAGTTGTATAAAGAGGAATCTCAACAGTACAGGAGCTTTTATTTTTCCTTGTGCAGTCCATTATAGAATGACCAAAACATTATTGCTCATTCATTTTATTCATGTTTAATAAGGAATCTGCAAAAAAAATAAAAAAACCTTGCAAAGCAGCTTTTAATGCAAGTGGTTATCTAGAAATATGAAATGAAGTTGCCATGTCCTGAAAGATATAAAGAATCCTACTTTGTTTATTGATTCCCCTTTTTTTAACAGGTCCTTTTTTCTGCTGCTATAAGTAAATCTCTTCTTGCAGTAAAACTGAAAATACACTTTTTTTTACTGCAGAATAATTTGCAGTTGGAATAGTAGAGAAAAATACGTATCATATAATAAATAACAGCTATTTAATTCTGAACAGTTCTCTTTTTTAAGTTGATTTTTGAAAAGGAGGCCTTGGATTTCAAATATCAACTTAAATGTATTTCTGTCCATTCCAGCCAGGAATAAGTATTTCTGTTAATGGTGTGAGGTGGAGAGTTGGAAGGGGAACTCCTCTTTCAATGGCCTTTCTATATTGCTGAGGATTGGCTATAAATAATAGTGTTCTATTACTTAGAAATATGCTACCAACATTATTTTCTAACATGTCCTCAAATCACAATGATCATTTAAGAGGTTCAAATGTCTACTTTTTCACTTCTGTAGCTACCTCATCTGTGTTTTACATTCCCTGAGTTAATGTTAGGGTGTCAGATGCAGAATTACAAGAAGCTTTATTTTTATGCTTGAAACTAGCAGAAACGAATAATTCTCTTACAAATACCTAAATCTTGCAGATCTCCAATAGAGTCGACACTGCTACTGTTCCCTGTATTCAAGTCAATGCAACATGTAAGTACAAGCAACGTTGCTATACATTTTTGTGGATTTCAGTAGATTATTGATTTTTTTCTAAATAGACCAATTGATTGCATCAGAATCCTGAAACAGCATATTGCAGATACCTTTAGCTATCATAAGCTGTAAAGCATTATGGGTAATACCTAGAAGTCAGTTCCAGTTAGTGGATCAGCTCTTTTTCATTTGACTTGCAAAACACTTGTCTGATCAAACCTTCGTTCCTCTAATAACCATTTTTATAAGTGAATAACTTAACTAGAAAGTGTACCTGTTAACCATTGAGATGTTAGGACCCTTATGGGTTCATAAGCATAAAGGTAGGTAACAAAACCTCATTAATGACTGATAGTTGACCGTGAATGGGTAAGTGGACAAACACAGTGCATGTAACAGTGTTTGCTGCCCACTTATTTTGATGGTATTTTAGTATTTGTTTATTAATACTACTTACCAAAATGCACTTTATCTTTACAAAAATGATAAAATACTCAAATGCACCTTACTATTAAATCCTGAGTTACAGGTAGGAAAGTCTACCACTTTGTGGAGACTAGCCAATGATGACTAATAGAGATCTATACCATTTGACTTGTAACTTATCTGTTGGAATATATGTAAGTATAAGGAATGCCTGTTGTCTTCCACTGTTCTTATAATTAGTGTATGGAGGAAAGGACCATGTTTCTGGTTTTCTAGAACTTAAATGCTGCATAAACATATACACCTGATACAATCATTCAGAGCTTTCCATGAAGTGTCTAGGAATTTAAAAAAAAAAATTTACTAGTGGGGGGAAGGGAAAGTGACAAACTCGCATCCAGTATAGGAAAAATCAGATCTACTTTAGAAAGCCTTTGCCCTGCTGACTGCTTTCTCTTTTAGTTCATCAGACCAAAGGCCACTTCATTTTGACTTCTGTATACATTTTACTGCTATCTGATGCTATTATCCAGTCCTTCATCTTAAGCAGTATGCTGATCCCAAGATACTTCATTTTAGCTTGATTGAATGTACATATTAAGGCTTCTGTGGAAAAAAAGATCTCTAAGATATATTTATTCATGAGAAATTTCTTTGGCAGCAAAGAAAATTATATAGTTGCTGTAGGTTAACAAAATATGCTTTCAGCATTCTTCATATGCTCTGAACAGGAGTAAGACTGATAACATTTCTGTTTTGATCCCTTGTATTAATAATTTTATTACAGATGAAAGAATTCAGCATCATGCAATTTTAATAGTTTACTATCAAGTAAAGTACATAGGCCTTCTGTGTTTTAAGAAAAATCACAGCTGCTTGCAATTCATTTTAGACAAGTGCTTTACACACTCAGTTTTCACATTAAAAATACTTCCTAGTTTGGGGTGAAACATGTAATTGCAGAAAAAGGTTTGTAATATTCTGTCTCCATATTGTTTCTTTCCTTCTTTGGGGTATGTCTTTTCATTTGTATGACTTGGTTGCTAAGATATGTTGGAGGGGATTGTGGGGGGGTATGTTTTTTGTGAGAATACCTTCATAGCATGCACACATGCTTACTACCTGCAGCATTTAATTAGAAAATTGTAATACAGTGTTATAATGTAATGAAGTAAAAAACATAGTCATTCTCATAGTTGGATGGGTGGGGCACAATGCAGCATTCAACTGTAAGCCTTTTGTCTAATAAAAAATGTCTGAAACAAAGTGATTGTCTAACAATCAGCATTCCACTTGACCTTTTTCAAGGCACAAAAACAAAGTTAATGAATGTATCGTTCAGTTGCCATGCAATATGCTGGGATTTTTGTGCATTACTAGGGAGTCTTAACTCTTGCTGCTTTAGTTCATATCACAGCGTGACTAGTCAGGGTATAACAAATTGTCTTTCAAACGATTTGTGCTGAAATCATTATTAAAAGTTTGTCCTCAAGAGAATCTGTGCATACAGGTTTTTTGTTTTTTTTTTAAATTTTTTCTCCAGAGTGTTTTCACTGTTACTTATAAATGAAACAAATGGTGTCAATGTGGTAAGAGGAGTAGGGAGGGTACAAATACTGCCTTTTTTTTAAATGTGGCTTGTGAAGGACCCAGTAGCACTGACATAATTGGTATTGTTGCTAGACAATTATATGGAACATACTGCTGTATCAAAATTAAATGTAGATCACACTAAATTTTAGTTTAATGAGAGAATACAAAGTTCTAAGTACAATATTATTAAATATGCTCAACAGAAACATGTATTTGAGGTTTTGTAATTATTTATTTTAGTAAGCTAAAATAAAACATTTTTGCAAGCACAGTATTTAAGCTATGTTACTACTATTGGGAGGGTTGTGTGTGTGTGTGTGTAAGCAAGTTCCTAAATGTAGGGCCATGACTGATCTCCCAAAATATAACTATAGCTAAAACAACATAAGGAGTTGTTTATATTTACAAGATTTTTAGTATGAAATTATCATGGTTCAGAGCAGATTCTATATAATGAAGTTAACTGAAAACTTTCACTTACCCAGAGCTTCCACTATTCACAGGAAAAAATTTTGTAATGGGTGGGAGCTAGGTAGGATTGGGAAAATGCATTATATAATATATAATGGTTTATTATTAACAACACACGTTCTACAAAGCATTACATTTTATACATTTTTTATAAATATTTTATAGAATGTCTTCTGTTCAGTTGCCTACTTTTAGAAAGTACAGGAAAAGAACAACTGTTATAGTGTAAATGAATGGTCAGTGAAGGTGTCAAGGAAAGTAACAAAGTGTTCGCTAGACTCTCCAACAAGTATGAGCAGTAGAATGCAAATAATCCATGTATCTTAGAATTTTCACATGCCAAAATTTGTCATCCTTCACCATGTATCAGCAAAGATTGAATAGAAAAGTGCTGTGATAAGGTCTCTCATTACTAAGACTCCATTAGTCTTGCAAAATATTATGTACTACAAAGTGTTGTTAGAGAATTTGACAGTTGTCAAAGCAAACAGTATATTTTTGAGATGTATCTATGAATTTTAATTTATGACATTTGTAATATGTGACCATGTTATTGGAACACATTCTTGTGTATTTTGTTGTACATCAGACTAAATTGGATGGGGCAAAAGAGAAAAATGTTAGAATACTTAGCTCTTGGATGGCATTTAGGCTTACTTTGAAGTATTCAACATTATGATGAAAAACAAATAAAATGATAAATGATACATATTTATAATCTGTGTAATTTTGATCTAGATGGAAAGCAAACAAGTAAAAATCAGCATTTTAAACAGAAATTTAAAAAAATTATATGAAACTGAGACTTATGAGCCTTCAATCAGCATAAATTGTAAAAAAAAAAGAAAAAAAAATGACTAGACTGAATTTGGAAAACTTTGAAAGGTCAGAGCATAAGAGCTTTGTGGCAGAGCTTCATATTTTAAAACAAGGTGGAGAAAATAGTGACCACCTAAATTTACTTTACTTTATATCAAACAGTAGCGTTTCTGAATTACAAGGCAGCTTTTTTTTTCTTCTGAAGATCAAAGTGCTGCATCTGTTCTTTGTTTGAGTTGCAGATCTATTTGCCAAGCTGTTTGTCACGTTGTCATTTTATTATAATAGGGTTTATTTGGAAACATTTCTGCAATGCATCTAAAGAAAAGACAAATGGCAGTATTTACAGAAAGTGGCAGATTATGCTACGGAGTTTCTCCCTTCATTGGAAGAAGGGATTGAAACTATTTGGATTAACATCAACGTGCACCATGTTTCAACTAAATTAGATATTCATACAATGGGGGTCCTTAATCCTGATTAAGGATGCTGGGCACTGCTGCAGCACAAACCATGAATCAAAAAAGTTAGTATTTGCTCACATTTTCTGCCAGTGGAATTTACTGTGCAATAGGAAGAGGCTATGGGTTTTTTGTTTTGGTGGGGTTTTTTCTTCCTTGTTAGACTTGTCCAAAAGGTAATTAAAGCTTATTTGAAAGGTTGGCTTCTCTAGCTAAACAAAGATTGTGTTTGCTTATATCAGACTAAGGGCCAAATCCTCTTACCATTGAATTCAATGCAGCCTCAACAGCTTTGCTTTGAAAAAAAGGCTGGAGATACTTAGCAGCTGTAAAGAGGCACTTTTTCCTAAGGTAGCAGTACCATTTTACAGCAGAAGATCTGTGCCACAACACTGTGGCAACATCCAGCATATCCTGTCCATGTAGACGTGAAGACCACTTCTCTAAGAAGGAGAAAATAGAACAATTTATGTTCTACAATGAGCGATCTAATTTTCCATTAAAGAGGCTTGACTTTCAATACTGAAATTTGTAAAATGAATACAGAATCTATATCCTTCTGTCTTTATCAACATGCTTATTGATTTTTAGTGGAGATGATATCATTAAAAATATTTTAAAAGGTGGTTCAACCAGTATTAAAACAGGAAGGGAACCTGGTAACTGGTTTCCTCATACTGTTATACTTGTACTATGCCAAACCACTTTACTATTTTCACCTTGTTAGTAAAGCTAGTACTAGTTCAAATTTAAGCTTTTTGGAATGAGGGCTTCACAAAATTAGTCTAGTCTTTTGACTAATTCTAATATTAAGATCTCTTATCTTGTCAATAATATATTTTAAGGGTCTTCTACATTGATCCAGTCACTTTTTACTTAAAGAATTGCCCTCGTCTCAGACGTACAGGCGGTGCAGTAAATTGGAAATTGTTTTAACAATTTTACATGAGGCTATTGTTTCATTTAGCATCACAAATATTGAAGCAAAATGGCTGCATATTGTAGTCTCAGAAATACTTACTTATGGTAGCAAAAAGCTATCGGCCAAACTTCATGTCTGTTGTCTCAGTGTAAATCTGTAATGTAAACCCAGATTATTCCTGGTAGAACTGAGAGCAGCGATTGGCCCTTTGTTTTCAAGTATTTCGTACTTCACTCATACCAGGATAGCATATTTTACTATTCTGAACTCCATAGTGCTGAGAAAAAAACACAACTTACCTATCT